GGTTCAGTCCCACATCTTCAAGCCATGCCACGGTAGGTTTCAGATTCGCCTCGATGCTGAGGCCCAAAACTTGAGGCGTGGCAGCTATGACTTTAGCCACTTGCGCTTGGTTCAGTCCCACATCTTCAAGCCATCCCAATGTGGGCTTCATTCTGGTCTCGATGCTGCAGCCCCAAATTCTCGGATATTTGCGACCAAGAACCTCCGCATCCAGAGCAGGTAGCTCTGCTCGAAGAAATGCCTGCATTTCTGCACGCTTCGCTTCTTGGTCGGTTGTGAGGACGGCCTTGCGCACAAACTCGCTCGACTGAAAAAAGGCATGGCTTCCTTCGGCGGCTTCGAAGAGTCGCAGTCGCTCGCAAACTTCCGGAAGCAATCCATCTTTCAGCTCGCTCACCAGTCCCCGCACTGTTTGGACAACAGCTTTCAATAGCGATGCTTTGTGGCCCGCTCGCCAGGCATCCACCAACACATCCGAACGGCCACCCCGGCTCCTAAACTCACGAGCGGAGTGGCAAAGTCGCAGCACTTGTGAACCCTCGGGTCCGTACTTCAGCAGAGCTTGTGTCTTTCGTGCATCGGCTTGGCAACCGTGTTCGTCATAGTGCCGCCAGTGCCCATCATACTCTACAAACAGAGCAGCACCCTCCTTTCTCAACACGCCATAAGCAGACAGATCCGGGCACAGCCAGCGCGAGCCCCAAGTCTCTGAAGGCTCTGTCGGAAAGTCCCGGAAGAGCTCCCCGATGGGCTCCTCCGGCATCAGGAGCACCGCAAGGTGGGACAAGAGCTCCACCTCTGCCACACTGCGATGCACTGTGCGAGGCCTTCCTGTCTTCCACCACGAAGGCCCACCGCAAGCCGCGAGGCCCAAGGCAAAGAAGGGCAACAGCAGCATCTTCCCACAACATCTCCACGAGCCCTTTCGCCGTCTCATGTTCCCTTCAGGTGGCTGGCAGGTATAAAAGCTGCGTAGGAGGGCAGATGTATCACACACGCAAACCGAGCAGGTCAACCTTTTTTGACAAGCTCTACATCATCCTCCCACATCTGCACGGCATAATGTGGACCAACCCCGCAGAGTCGTTTTGAAAAGCAGGCTATGTCCTGGTCTTGGCTGCTACTTCAAGCTCGCATACATGCCTTTAAGCACTTCTTGACCTCCTTCTTTCCTCGGAAACTTGCAAATCTCCGAACTGTAAAGAAACAGAATCACAGATTGCAGCAGGTCCTAGGGTCCCGGAAGTCTGCGCCGTTTGTGGTGGCCTGCACAGGGATGTTGGCAAAGAGGGTAGGGAAGGAAGGACAAATAGCAGGAAGGGAGGGCGGACACGAACAAAAACCTTTGTGGAGCGTGGTGTTTTGTGCTTCGGGGGCCGCGATAAATGGTCAACTGTACTACCTTACTAGTTGATGCGGCGATGTTCGTTCAGCACCCAAGCAATGCCTCCCGAGACCGCTGACGACTTTTTAGGAGACCCTCAAACCGCTCAAAACCGAAAGCCGCGTCGGCGGTCGAAGTCCCAAAACCGAGCTTTGCATAACGGCCAAAACCTATCGGACATGCCCTGACGAACTCAGGAACGAGTAGGATGCACTGCAAGAGGAACTCTGTTGCAACTCAAAGGCCGAAGCCCAAACTCCGCCACAGCAGGGTGTTTTCCACTCGCGGCAATGCTTGGGATACGCATCGAGCCCCAAAGCTCTGGAGGTGCTTTGTCTTGCATAGGGAAAACCTTTGTAAAGGGTTGTACAGGGCGGCTTGCGGCTTGCTGGGGATGCTAAGCTTTGCGGTCCGAGGTGACGCAATTTGCCTAAAGACTAACTCCCTGACCCTGACACCGAAACACCACAAAATCCTAAGACCTGAAGACGAAGACCCGAAACCCTTCAAATTCTTTGTGTAGTCTTTGTGTAGCTCGGACGGGATCTCTAAAAACCTACCACTCATAGGATTCCAGATAAAGTGTGTTGGCCTTTGAAAGCGTCTGAAAACCATTCGTAAGTAAGACCCTCTCAGGCCTAACAAGGCAAAAATCATAAAGAATCCCAAAGGCCTAGCTAACGTTACCCTAAACCCTAAACCCTAAACTGGGAAGGTATGGGGCTCGCTGTGATCTCTGCGTGACGCCGGAAGGTCTCGGACCCCTCCAGCGGTTTGGCGACTCGGCGGTCAGTCGGCTTCGGCGCCTCCTAGGCTCGGGGGTTTAGGGGTTCAGGGTGTAGGGTTTAGGGTTTAGGGTTTGGGGTTTAGGGTTTAGGGTTTAGGGTTTAGGGTTTAGGGTTTGGGGTTTAGGGTTTAGGGTTTAGGGTTTAGAATTAGTACTAGGGTTTTGACGGGTGTTGGCGGCTTCTGGGGTTGTGGGATTGGGGTCTTAGACGCAATTCCTTCCGGTTTGGGGGCTAGGGTGTTTGGGACTGCTGTGCTTGCCCACTGAAGCCGAGTGGCTCTCCGAATCCTCCAAAATGCCTTGACTCAAAGACGATCCAGCGCTGCAAAGAACAATGAAACTGTCATATATACATATTATATATATATATACATGTGTACATATATATATCCTGTCAGTGGTCCTCAATTGCTGCTGTCTGTGTGGAGCATGCCTCAGGTAGCAAGATACAGCTTGTTTTTACGGGCTATTATTCACATGAAATTATCCTCTGCTCTTTCAGGTCGTCCATGAATTACGGCATTTTGAAAGATCCGGATCTTCTGTGGCAGTGAAACGGAAGTCATACCGCCGGGCGAACAGCAGCTGCTGCCGTCTTAGGGTCCGCCGGGCGAAGGACCTGTACCAACCCAGGATGTGGAGGTTTCCAGGGTTTCGGTTTGGACCAATCCGACATTGGTTCGACGGCAAAGAGAAGGTGTTGATGAAGCTTGCACTGCCCGGTAGCTTTTGCACAAGTGGACCGTGCGATAGTTAAATACTGAGAGCGGCTCGGCTAGAGGTTGGTGTTCGCACATGACTCTCTAGAACAATTCTCGGACGCACTGCGGAGACTCCACGCCAACAGATTAACAATCGGCCTCCCGAGCGACTACTCGCCGATCAACTTGACGAGGAGCTCGTCCACTCGGCTCTTCACCTCCTCGGCAAACTGACGGTGGCTTTTGGAGGATCCGGGTCGAGGCTTCGTTGGACCCACAGAGGCTAACATGCACCATAGGTTAAGGACCTAGATGGGTAGTTCTCTAAATTAAGGTCCCTTTTGGGGCCCTTCTTATAAGGGTGCCATACTATTTTGGGGGACCCTAAAAATGGGACCCTCATTTAGAGAACTACAAAAAGACCTTGAATGATAGTGAAGAAAATCAGCTTCTACAAGGAGCCTTGGGCTCTTCGGGGAGAAGGGTGAAATTGTCGAAGCTCTTTGCTTTTGCAAGGTCAGGGCTTAAGGGGTTTGAGGCTTGAAACGGTTTAGGCTTCGTGACTTAGGCACACAGGTTAAACACTCCAGGAGCCCAAATCTTGCGAATCCTCAATATCGGATTCGCCCCGGAACAGCCCCCAACGCTGTGAGCTGGCACCAAGCACAACTCCCACTTCGAGTTTTTCAACGACTGCCTCGAAACCTGCGGCGACCCCTGCTGCCGGAGCACACCCCATTGGAACGTCTTGTCGTCCACCAGGCCATTCACCTGCGTTGGGTGCGCATCTTGCAATCGGCCATGAAGATGAAGCTAAGAGCGGCTAAGAATCAGATGCCTGGATGCATCAGACAAGAAATCCGGTTCCCGTGACGTTTCCTGAGGAATGTGCTGGGGTTTGAAGAGTTCTTCTAGCTGTTGCAACTCTTCGGAGGTTGTAGACTGCGGGTGGCTACTCATTGGAAGAACCGTACCGCACCAAATCACCCTAGCCCCCCAGTTACCTACTATATAGGGTACTAGAGACCCTAAAACCCTATATAGGTGATTGTCAAAATTAGGGTCCCTTTTTGGATACCCTAAATATTAGGTGCCGTATTATATTACTGACCCAAAAAGTGACCATAGTTTTGACAACCACCTAATATACCTGGCGTGTTAGGGTCACAACAAGCCAAGCCGGAGCATCTCTACGCTTTCGCACGCTACGAAAACTGGCAACTCAATGAGAGACTTGCGCCTGAACTCTGAACCGACCGCAGAGCGAGAGAGAGAGACAGACAGACAGAGAGAGAGAGAGAGAGATATATATATATATATAGATTTCTTTCTTTCTTTACTTATCTTATTTATTTACTTATTTATTTGTAGGGTCAGAGATACAGAGGGCTATTGAGGCTTCCTATTCGAGACCTGACTAATCCAAGTCCAACTCCCGAAACTGGACCCTGCGCACTTTTCCTCAGAAACGCCGTGACAGCAGACTTCTGATCTTTTCCTTGGGCTCTCTCACATCGCCTCAGCAGCAGTTCGACAGGTATCGGGTTAAGGGTTGAAGGTTTGCGGTTGGGCAGATCAAGCCGGTTAAGGATTTCCCTGTCTAGCAATTTTGGTGAAGAGCGAACCTACGCCAGCCAAACCCGGCCGAAAAAATACTGTTACCCAGATAAGTCCCAGGGTTCATATGTCGGACACGCTTGGCTTGGGCCTAGGACCGGGCTTCGGACCAGCGAAATCTCGGGCTCTAGATTTAGGGTCTAAATGCTCAGTGGCTTCATGGCTGGAGACCTTCCCTGGCGATGTACCACCTTCGGTGCACAAGGAAGTCATCTTGGTTGATCTTGGATGGTTTTCATCCGGCCTGGAGTGGCCTTGGTGTAGATGCCTAGTTCGTTCGCAGCCCATTCGTCTTTTCTGAACAAGGACTACATCATATGTATTCCATGAGCCAGTACGATTTGAGCTGTGCCCCTCGACTTTGGACCACTGGACGCAGGAACAGCATTGCCCGCTCTCTCTGGGCCCATCCCTAAATCCTAAACCCTAAACCCAAAACCCTAAACCCTAAACCCCAAACCCTAAACCAATTCCTGCGGCACTGAGTCCCCGAGCGATCTGCCAGAAGCTTGAAAAGCTTTTTCTGGCAGCAAGGCCGGCAGTAATATAGTTGCCTTAATAAGTACCTATTCTATTTTGGGGGCTCCGTATTATCATTATAGTATAATATGCCCCAAGACCCTATTCGGATCATTTAAGGCCCCTACATTACTTAGGTGTTCAGGGTGTCAGCTTTCCGGACAAGGTTCTGGGATCCAACAGGCCAGGTGGTATTTTAGGTTTCATAATGACCTCAAACACCGATGTCGTGGGTAGAGTCTTTAGGGTTGAGGGTTTAGGGTTTAGGGATGTTTAGGGTTTAGGCATTTATTATCGGCTAGTTACTATCTCCCCTCCGCCGTTGAATCAGAAACAGCTTAGTGTTTCCTAGGAGTGCTGCCTCTCAAGCCCCAACCCTGGCCTGGAACCCCGCCCCATACCCGCGGAATCTGAAATGTCCCGTACAAAATCGGCCCAGCAGCAAAAAAAATCTGAACCTTTGTTGCAGTGTCCTAGCATACTGGCTGGACTCTTCTTGGCCACCAGCAAAATTACAACTTAGGTAGACAACTGACCGAAAAACGACGTTTCTTCAAAGGCCTTGGCCATCACAAGTGCCACTTCCAAAGTCCTTTGGGCCCTTCTACAGTGCCATTGTAGAAGCGATGAAGGTCATCGTGGCATCCCTGCCCTCTTTAATCTGTCGTGAACGATTGCCGTTGCGATCCACTGAGTGTGCTAAACCCTATGAGCCTTTCGGCCCACACTCTGGAACACTAAACCTGAAAGCCTCGCCGAAACTGAGCGACTTTTCCTCAACCTCCCCCCAAAGATCCAGAGCCACCTCGACCTCTTCCGCCGCCATAGTCCTCGAGCGTGGATAAAGCTGAGTGCTTGGAGGATGCGGGGGCTCATCAAGCAGGGTTGTAATTAAGGTAACTATACCTTAACCCACCAGAACCGACGTTTTTGTAGGGTCCCTATAAATCCCATATTAGGGTTTATAATGGGAACCTACAAAAAAGTGGGTTTTGGTAGGTTAAGGTAGACCATAGCTATATCTTGTGTATAACTTTGATTAGGGTGCCCCTGACCCTTACCAACAAAGCCCCTTGAACCTGTAAGTAAGGCCGTGGGTTCACTCTTTTGGTTCAGAACTCAGAGCTTCCGCAGATGGTGCTGCTTTGGCTTCAAGAGACGAACAGCCGTGAACGACGCGTATGATGCTGTGTTCAAAAATCAAGGGCACTGGCTCAGGGTTTACGTGTTTAGGGGTTGGGGGCCTTCTTTAACATCCCAAACAATGAGTATGATGGTGCAGCACCCTAACATGGACCCACTTTCGGACGTTCCCCTGAGCCCCGCGCAACCCAGGAGGCGGCTGCGGCTGCTCCCCTGCCTGCACAATAGCACGACACGGTTAGTTATTGATCATACTTCCATGGTTATATTATATGAGCAGGTCAAAATTTCTTGCGAGTTGTCCTTCCTTCGTTCAGCGGAACCGTGCTCGCATGGCAATGAGATGCGAAGACGTGCCACGCTAAGGACTAAGCTGACAATAAGGTAAGGATGCCTTGTTTCTGCTGGTTATGCTTTACGAAGGAACCTACGAGCAAGTGGACAAGTGCGCCCATGATTCAATGGCTTCCTTCATCCACAAAACCCTCCACGCCTAAAACTCGCACAGCCCTTAAACCCTGAAGCCGTAATCTTCCTTCAGCCCTGACTTTCTCTCATTGGCTGCAGGGAATCCAAACTCACAAAGCCCTGAAGCCCCTAGCCCGGAAGCCCTAAACAATAAACACGAAAACCTTGAATCCGGGAATCACGAAAACAAATATAGACTTTTAAGTATTGGTTGTTACTACACTGCGAGAAGAAACGTATGTATATATTAATATATATATATATATACACATATTAAACCCTAAACCCGAAACCCGAAACCCTACACCCTAAATTGTTTACACTTATCTAGAAAATGTTGCAGCCGAGACACGGCACCGAGGCGCGGGAGCATCCACCGCGCGAAGGCGGCGACCTGCTTGGCCTGCGGAGCAGCCCGGAACACGCAGCGTTTTGGGTTTAGAAAGTATAGGGCTTTTAGGGTATAGGGTTTAGGGTTTTAGGGTTTAGGGTTTTAGGTCAAGGATCTAGGGTCTCGGGTGTAGACAATATTGATCTGAATGGCACTGTGAAAAGGTTACTGTACGAATACCAATACCCAGAAGGAACAGTCACAACAGCAAAGCCAAGAGCAGTGCAACCCGGACTGTCGTTTTCTCGCAAGGGGCGAGATCGTCAACCTGTTGGAAGACAAGATAGTACGTTGAGTGGTCTCACGATCGGCAGGCTGTAACCATTGCACGGTATAATACGCTTAGGACCCAGGATCACCTGAGCCAAAGCGTGAGCCACATGTGGAAGGGCCATGTCCAGAACACTTCGCACGCTAGCTACCCAGACCCCCAAAAGGATCTAAAAAATAGATCCCCAAAGGGGGTTCCTATAAAGTACCCTTTAGTAGTTAGGGTCCCTAATTAGGGGATCAATTTGTTTAGATCCTTTTGGGGGTCTGGGTAGTAGCTAAGGTACGCTGTTAAAATCGATCTTCAGGGCTCAGGGATTTCCCTTACGGATCCTTACAATGTCTCTGCACTCTCTGGATGGTGAGAAGACTAAACTCCTTAAGCAGAAGGCCCCGAAGTGCTCAGCCTCAAATTGAATCTGAATCGCGAAATGTCCTCAAAACGAGCCTCTACAAGAACTCCGGGACGCTCGCTACCCACATCCCTGCACCCGTAAACCCAAAAAAACAATTTAAATCATACTGAGCCCGACACCCTTCATCAAACCCGCCCGAAATGGAACGCTAGGATCCGACCTTGATCGGCCGGGCTTTCGTGCAATCTTCCTCCCCCGGGGCATCCGGGAAGTGCTTGCCGATGTACTCCTGGTCGCGTTTTTCTGGGTAGACCCTAAGCCTCTAGCCCCTAAATCCTAAACCCCTAAACCCCTAAATCCTAGACCCCTATAAACCCTAAACCACTAAACCCTGAACCCGAATCGGGTCTGCAAGGCACTTCTGGTCCCGTGGTTTAAGGACTTGAGCCTTACGGCTGTATCGCATGTTTTGTTGCGCGAGCGTTTGTTTGGCACAGTGTGTATCGCATCGTGCGACTTTGCAGGAGCTGTGTTTAGCACTTTCTGCCTTCTGCTGTCTAGGATTTGGGGTTTATATGGGTAGTTCTCCAAATTAGGGTCCCCTGTTGGGTCCCCAACATAGTGCGGCACGCTGATAAAAAGGAGCCCAAAAGAGACCCATCGCGGTTCGAGTTAGCTTACATCCTGGGTCCTGAACCCAAGACAAATAAAAACAGTTGGATGCAGCACGGGAACCCAATGCAGAGCCAAATGCGAACCGGTATCATCTTAAAGACCTCAGGCCCTTAGAAAGAAATATGCTGTCGTAAGAAAACCCGAAGAGCAACAAAATTGCCCCAAGTATGCAACTTCACATCACTAAAGTCATGCTAAAGAACCCCCATAATGAAAAAGGCACGGCTTGTTTGGTTGGTGTCTGGCTCTCTAAGACTAACAAAAGTAGGAAAACGGAAAACCTTGCACAAGACCGGAAGCCCCTACTAACAACAGCTACAAGAATCCTGCAAACCTTATCTGATCCCCTGTTGGGACTATATTAAACATGATCATGTTTAATCCTCATTGAGTTTTCTTATAACAAACATGCAAAATTGTATCCAACAAGGACCCAGTTCTGAACTCTATAGGAAACACCAGTTCTGTCCTCGATGTCGCGCATCAGCACAACATCCTCGCATCTCGGGCCGACTCCATAGCCTGGATCTGAAAAACTGAGACCGCACAAAACCCAGAGAGTTTGGGGAGCTCGGCGTCTTCAAACATGTTCTTAAGTTTTTCAACTTCTTGAAGCATCCTTGGAGGGCAAGAGCTAACAGGTTGCAGGGATTCGAGTTCCCTAAACGTAAGCCCTACGAGAATTGATCCTAAATCCAAGATACTCAACGCAAAATCCTGGACACTCCGCCCTGCCAGAGACCGAGAGTGGAGGGAAGCAGAGAATGGAGGCTCGACTTAAAAGACCGGGAAAAAAAGGAATTTACTAAGTCGGCGAGGCGTAGACGTAGAATTGTAAGTCTGGCGTTGGGGCTCCCAAACCATGAACTTCAGAGTCGAAATCCGACTAACATTTCGGAAACGTTCTCCGCTCAAAGCTTGACAACCCTTTGAACACAAAGGCTTTGACTTAGAGAACACATTTGACGTTTTGGAGGTTCAGGATTCGGGAGATTTGGGGTGTTGAGACGAGACTGGTGCTGAGCTAGAACTTCTCCACAGCGTGAGTGGAGGAATGCTGGAAGCAGCTGCGATTCTTGTATGAGCTTCCGTCGACATTGTTTTTTTAAATAACAAACCCCAGACAACATGCGGCCGGTAAAAGAATCCTAAAATGGCACCACATGCCCCTCCTTAGCGCGGCCCCATGATCCGGAATGTTGGCCATGTGTATCGTCTCAGCACCCGGCTCACCCCGGAGCTCAGGGGGTAGTGCTCGAAGAACCACATGGCCTGGACTCGCCAGTGAGAGTCGCTTGGTGGAGAGTGTGTGACTATAGGATCTAACGGAGTTTTATCCTGAAGCTCTCCTGGAGTCAAGGTGCATAGCCTTGAGGTGGGAATAGGGTTTATAGGACTTGACATCAAGGCCATGTCGTCTCTAACCTCTGAGGCGTGAAAAGAGAAAAGAGCCTAATGCTCCGAAGACAAAGCCCTAAACCCTAAACCCTAAACCCTAAACCCTGAACCCTAAACCCTAAACCCAAAGCAGCCACTCAGAATGCACAAATCCCCCGCTTCCCTACAACACCACGCCTTCGAGTCTAAGCTCGGCCCTGCGCTCGCGAATCTAGACCCCAACTCCCGAAACGTTAAGCTGAACTAAAGACGCAAATCGCGCCAAAAGTGGAAAAAACGGTATCATCTCCAGCACAGTCGAACTGACCATCCGTAAATGAAACGACTTTTTTTGTGGAGGTATCCCGTCCAATGCATAGCAGGAAAACGAGAACAGAAACAAGAGGGAGCCTGAACCTAGTACGACCAGTAGATTGCTGTACTAGTGAGAACAGAAAAACAACAGCTGTCGCAAGGCAACAAGCCGTCGATGAGGGCCGCGCCATAGACGTGGTCTCCGGCGTCAGCGACTGCACGTGGTGCCACCAATATGGCCTCGGTATGGGGCCACGAAGCCCGAACCCTGGCAATTGCTTTAAGCCTTGATATTTGACAATCCTGAGCCCGCAACATGCAACCCTGGACCAAAAACTCTACTCCAGAGACTGAATCCGAAGCCAGAAACCTTCAACCCTAAACCTGAATGGCGGGTTTTTTGCAGCCTTTCAAGGACCCATCGTTTTATGTTCTGCTCTTTTGGCTTGACCTCCACAGTCCTCGTATAAAATTCCTGGAACTTGTGGGTCGACCCGAACCCGGTCTGGAAAGTGGATCCCGAAATCGCTTACTAACCTGCCATAAAGTGCCACATCCAGAGTACAGAGTTTAGGGTCGGTTTAGAGTAACCTGCAATAGGTGCCACATCCAGGGTACAGAGTTTAGGGTCGGCTTTGAGTAACATGCAATAAGTGCCCATCCAGAGTAGAGAGTTTAGGGTCGGTTTAGAGAAACATGCCATAAGTGCCCCATCCAGAGTATAGAGTTTAGGGTCGGTCGGGTGTTTCCTATTAAAGTACTGGGCACGACAATATGTGTTTTCAAAAATCCTGGGATCCCAGGGGTTTGGGAAGTAAGGAGGCAGCGAACAGCAACACTTAGATTTCACAAGCAAGGTGCCCTCTGCGCTCAACATCAAGAACGCTCAATCTGAAAAGCGACAAAAAACCGTAGAAAAGTTGCCACCTTCCAACCCCACAACTCCGCCGAAACCCTTCCGACGAGATTCAAAACATTCCTGCACCAGCAGATCTAGATAGAATAATGACAAGGTCCAAAGCGACCTTGAAGGGGACCCTTCGTAACCCTACTATCGCTTAAAGTAGGGACTTTTTTGAGAGGGTCTATATCTTGAAGGGTCCCCCTAATCCTAAGGGGCTTGGGGGGTTAACATGCACAGACTGGGCAATCTGAAGCCCCGAGCCTGAAGCCCGACATAGCTTACATAGGGCCATTCTGTGTAGTTACCTGAATTAGGGGCCGTTTTAAAAAGTCCCCAATTAGGGGCCGTTTTAACGAGTCCCCAATATATAGTACCCCACCCTTACAAAAAAGGGCCCTAAAAAGGGACCCAGATGTAGAGAACTACCCTTAAAACAGGGAATCCAGGCGCCCGGCGGGATGTACAAGGCCTCGCCTGGCTCCAACTCGACCTTCTCGTGGCGGTTTGGGGGTCCAGCGTGGCCTTTGCTTGTAGCGTTCAAGGCTGATGGTGAGATTTCAGGTTTTATAATTCAGGAATTGCAGGGTTTAGGGCTGAAAGAATAGAAATGACACTCTGATGGGAAGAGTGCGAAAACAGACAATCAACAAGTGGCTTCTTCTGAACACTAAGCACCCTAAACCCTGGTATTTTATCTGGCCCCTTCTCATAGTTCCAAGGTGCGAAGATGGGCGAAGTATCCGAGATGCTGGTCAAGGCTCCCACCCTAAGCACTAACCCACCCACTAACCGTCCCTAAGCCCTCCACGGACCCTACGCTTCAAAAACGCGCTCCTACACTTCGGTAGCTAGTAGACCCTAACCCTCCAGGTACCTACTATAGAGGGTACTAGAGCCCCTAGGGCCCTATATAGTAGGCACCTGGAGGGTTAGGGAGAGATGTTCATCCTGTCGCCTAAACCCTAAGCCCTAAACCCTAAACCTAAACCGTCCTGTGTTTCGCCCACTGGGGGCTCGGGCCATGTAGCCCTTCGCATTCTGCCAGCCCGGAAAGCGATCGCAGTCTGGGGCATCGAGGTCCACCATGCTCCTGCAATGTTTCGGGGACCTTCTTACCTCACCTCACATCCGGAAGGCTTCTAAGCTCTGATGCTTGCTACGACGACGCTTCTCCAAGTCCAGAGCGTCCTTGAGCCCTAGAGCCCAAGGCCATCAGTCCCGAACCCCAAAAAGCAATCGCTGAAGCCTGAGGCAAACTCTGAACATCTCTAAATTTAAACCATGCCATTAAGGACCTCTTCCTAGGAAAGTGTACTCAAACCTCAAACACTCCATAGAGCTCTAAAGACAGACCCTCCAGCTTTCGAAGTCATAAGAGGGCCCAAAACCTAAACCCCTATAACCTAAAGCCCCAATCCCTGAACCCGAACTTAACCGCTAAAAACCCGTAACCCTACAATCCTAAAAGCGTCCTCCGGTCCAGGTCGTGGTGCACCGGAAAGGGGTACAAGTGCCGCCAGTCCTCCGTCTGTTTGTGGCTTCGGGCGGTGTTGGACTCCTTTACGGGCCTTTGTTCAGGGATCAAAAACGGATCCATACGAGTTTGGTGCTTCAGGTTTTGGGGTTTAGGGTCGAGGGTCGGAGGTTGCGAGGTCCAGTATAGCACACGACAACACCCTTGGTTCAACTGTTCAATTTTGTATTCTAAGTACAATAAACCCTAAACTGAGGCGGTTTGAGGGACCCATAAGAGTTGTGTGTGTTGTGCTTGCGGTTTGGGGTCGTCGGTTTCGGGAGCAGGTTCTGGAGGTTTGGGATTTTTGGGGTTTGTGGCCCGGCCTCCGGGGGAAAGAGGATGAAGCGCTTGCGCCCCGTCAGCTGCACGTGCCTGAGAAGAGTACTTGGAGGGTCGGGGGACTTAGTCAGGGAAACTAAAGTAAAGGGCTCTATATATATATATATATATTTATATATATATAAGGGCTCCTTTAATATATAGGGGGCTTCAGCGGTTTTAGGGTTTAGAGGACTTATAAGTACCTTAATAGGGCTGTCAGTAGATATAACTATAGACTAGAGCTACCTTACTTATAGCCCTACTTACGAAGTCCAGTGATCCTGAAAGTAGGGATCAGGGTGAAGAGCTCTGAACCTCTGGGGTTGTAGGGTTTGGGGCTCCAGGTAGGGCTTTGGGCCTTTCGGGTTCAGGGATCTTAAGGGGTCTGGGGTTGTAGGGTTGAGGGCTCTATGTAGGGCTATGGGCCTTTCGGGCTCAGGGATCCCTAGAGGTCTGAGGTTGTAGGGCTTATGGCAGTGTAGGGATTCAGGGTTTCGTTGCTTTAAGCTGGGCTTGTGCTTATCTTACTAGTTGCACAAACACAAAACCCTGAAACCCAAAACCAAAAAAATCTGGAACCGAAACCCTGAACCCGGAGGCTAAATCTCCAAACCCCAAGGCCCAGCACCGAGTAAGCAGTATACTGGGGCTTAGGATTCGGATGCCCCTAACGTAGGGGTCTACATAATTACCAAGACTATTTTGAGGGCTCCTCATTATAAGTACAGTATAATGGGCCCCAAAACCCTATTCTAATTATTAAGGGCCCCTATAGTAAACCCTAACTAAACCCGAAGCCGCCTTTCCCGAACCCTTCTCTCTGAGGGAGCGGCAGATTCGGCTGCAGGTCATAGTGGCAGTGGTAGAGCCTGGAACTCGAAGAAAGCGTGCTTGCTGCTCTTGTGGTTTAGGCTTGGGCTTGGTGGGGATTTACAGCTGAGATAACCCTAAAGGTCCATGTACCAAAATAGTAAATAGTATATACGTTGGCACCAAAAGTACCTATGTAGGGACTGCTTTAAGGCCAAAGTATATACTATATGGGTACATGGACCCTGAGGGTAGGCAAGCTCTGCTAGGAGTCAAAGCTTCGGGAGAGAGTTTTAAGTACGATTGTCCTTGAGGTGTCTCAGACGGAATACTGCAGGGGCCTGAATAGAAGAGGCTTTTGGGCTCCTTTGTACTGTAGTAGGTTTATGGTTTATAACAAGGAACCCTAACAGCAATAGTGGTAATTATTTAGCCTTCTATATGAAGGACTTGACTTGCCAAGTTCCATGGCCCAGGAGCGTCCAAGTAAAATGACTCCTGTTCCCCACCCAGGGCCTGGACAAACTAGCCCACAGAGAGCATTGTATCAAGCCGCACCAACATGTACACGTTAGACCATGTGGAGGATCCCAATAGAATTCAAGGGACATTCCTTCATGCACGGGGCCTCAAAACCCCGCGAAACACCTGTAAGACACCCTGGACCCTAAAATCCTAAACCCTAAAACCCTAAACCCTAACCCTAAAACCCTAAAACCCTAAAACCCCTAGCAGTCGGTAGAATTCCTGAATTTCAGTGGGTCGCCGCCCTTTAAGGCCCCCCACGTTCCACCAAGGCCCGCGAAGAGGTAGAAGCGCTGGACCAAAGGGAGGACGTTCATCTCCTGTAAGGGTTGAGGGTCGAGGGTCGAGGGTTGAGGGTTTAGAGTTTAGGGGCTTAGGGTTTAGACAGAATTCCCCAAGAAGCCAGGGGAAAAAAAAAGGTTAAACTTTCAGATTACTAGTAAACTCTGAGAGCCCAACAAGTTTAAAGGTTAGGTATTGGAGAACTAAGTGTAGAGAACATCTAAACAGTCATATGGGAGTTTCTAAGACTCAGACCTCTAGCAGTCAACAGAGTTTCTTTAGATGAAAAATCCTGCTCTTTCTAGTATCTACATGAAGGTCCCTCATTTCTCGAAACTCGCATGTTACATGTGTGGGGGCTTTAGGGCGTTAGGGTTCTATGAATGTCACAGTCACAAAGGCAGCTGCAAAGGTAAACGAAGGTAAAAGCTTGTCGACCATCAAAGGGGCTGATGGTAATTGTGCGGATTAGGGTTTATTCTAGGTATGGAGCAGCTGAAGCCAAGAACAGGAAGGCTTCAAAGGCTCTTTGGAGTTGTGCCCTCTCAACCCCGTGGTTTCGTGGCGGCCTTCTCCTTGTTTGGGCATCTTCAAACAAGAAACTAACCCCAAAGGCCAGCTTCTGATAGTATGGCCCCGAGAGCGAAATCAGTCAATACCCATAGAGCCTGTGAGAGGTTCTCTGACTGTCTGACTGAAGGACGGTGAGACTTCCATGCTTTACTTGTCCGGTATTCCAGGGTAACTTCAATGTTGAGCTGTGTGATTATATATTGAGCATAGTAGTATCGTAGGGTGACGCAAGTAAACCTTTGGGATTATGTATCGAGTATCGTATTCTCAAAAAGGCTAAAGGTTACCGACACTACTTCTAGGATATCTCTTTTCCTGCAGCCATACCCTGGTCTGGCCTGCCACTCCTTGATCACATCGAAGTGGATACCTCGATGTCTCTCTCTTCTTGCGTTGCTTGTTTTTGGTGCAGGCCTTTTTGTCAAACTTGAGGTGCTTCGGAATCTTATGTTGGTTTAAGGATTAGGGTTTACGTAGTAGGAGCACTGATGTGGGGTTGGGGTTGGGGCTTTGACCCTGTTTGGCGCAATAAGCTGTGAGAACTCCGTGCTTAAAGCCGATATGTTTATAGGGTTTAGGCTTGGGGTTTAAGGTGCTGAATAAGGGCTCAGGGTCTGAGGCTTTGGCAGTGTTTCGGGTGCTGGGTTTCAGGCCCAGGGTTTACGAGCCCTGATGCACAAAGACTTGAAGAAAAACAGGCCAAAATCTCAAACTTCAAGTTGTTGCACCGCAGCTTCTAATGCCACAGCAACAATAGGTAGCGGAAGTCGCACGCATCGCAAAGTAGAATGCTGGACCCCAACCCAGGACCCCGAGACCAAAACCCAAACCACACCACATAAATGCTGCAAAACCCTGCAACTCTTTGTGGGCCCTTACTGGGCCCCCAAGTGAAGGGAAGCGGCTCCAAAGGTCATCAGCCATCTCTGGGCCAATCCTTTGCGCCGGATATTTGAACGTTTAGGGTTAGGGCAGAATTGGCTCAAGACTCAGAATCCAGGTAATCCATAGATAAAGGCTTGGGGATACAGGTGTAGGATATCAGATGAAGGCTCTCGGAACAAGGGAGATCACCTTGGAGCCAATGAAATTTGTAGCGGCTGAGGGTAGTTAGAAGTGTTGTTTGTAAGTACGTATTTAGGTTTATGGAGTGGTACCACTACGAAACACTTGCGCATTGACCCTCCGATTCAGGGTGGAGCGCAGACAGGTGCGACAGGGGCTTAACACAGAAGCCGCTTTGCATGGAATAGGCTTTCGGTGTTTATGGTACTAGCTGGTAGTCTTATGTTATAGGCTGATTCTTCAGAACCCAAAAAAAGTAGGTGTATATGGTGGTACGATGTTATAGGCTGGTTCTTATTCTTCAGACCCCCCAAAAATACATAGTCTCAGCATCTCAGCGACTGTGAAGCCTTGTCTGTCATTCCCAGCCTGAGACGGCGAAGCAAAACAAGGCGTTAGCCCCCTTTTGGGTTAGGGTTTGCTGTAGGGGTTTTGGGGTATATTATGCTATCATTACACTAAGAAACCCCCCAAATTGCATTGGTAATGATTTAGGCCCCTATATTAGCCCCGTTTGATGCCAGAATGGAAACATTCTGCTACAGTCGTACGTCAGGTACAAAAAACGAAACCACGAGCGCTACAAATGCAACGGCGATGTGCACATTCAGGAAGTAAGATACAAGTAGAACCGCCACCTGAAACCCTGGATGCCTTAATTCTGCGTCTGGTGATTCGGCTCTCGCTCCTTGCAAGCCCAGCGGCGGACCCAAAAATCCGTTCTCCTCCTCCTTGAACCTGTCTTTTTGCCGCTACAACAGGAATACTACAAGCATGCAGAACTGTACACTGTAAACCCTGCGCTTTAACCTGACAGGTTTGAGGGGATTGACCTTCTATGCTTGAGATCTTAAGAATCACTGTTTGAGTTCTACAGCACGAGACCCTCAACCCAACAATGCTTTCAACAATATGGGAAACTGAAACCCATGGCCCGAAAGGCAATGGACTTAAAACGAACACCCCCAAACCGGAAACCGCAGATAAGACAAGCCCTGGACTCCCTGGACCCTGAAACCATCGGCTACCACTAAATGGGCGGCAACTCCAAGCCTTGACCCTAAACCCTAAACACTAGACCCCAAACCCCAAATCCTGCTTAGCCCCAACAGGCCCAAACCCCAAACCCTAAACCGTCCTACATCCTGAACCCCAGCACCGAAAGCCTGGACCCTAGACCGGAAGGGCTCAGGGTTGAGGGGTTTTGCTTACTTAAAGGCTCGGGGGACTTAGTAAGTCGTTAGTTTGTAGAGTTATAGGTATCATGACCGACATTAGGATACCTTTTAGGGCAGCTATAGCTCTACTTCTTATTACCTCTTACGAAGTCTCCCGACCCTCCAAATAGAGTCTGACCGAAACCCTGAATAGCCCCAAAGCGGGGACCTCCAGAGCAGATGGATGCCAAAGTAGGGCAGCTTCCTCTTGCCGCCTGGAAGAGATTAATGCCGGAACCTGATTAAGTCTAGGGTTCCTTTTCAAAGGGTTCTTCAGGTTCTATAAGGGCACTATAAGTTTTCAGTGGTTTAGTATAGGAGCCTGATTAAGAAACCTTGGATCTTCATTGGGGATCCTTATGTGGATCTTAATATTTGCGGCATATAGGATCAAGGTTCCTCAATCAGATTCCTACATTAGCAGCGTAGCAGAGTAAACACTGTAGAATTACAGATCGTTGATTAGTTGTTCGTAGTAACAGTAGTATGAATGCATGTATGCATATGAATAGCAAAATTACCATTATACGGAAGCGCTCAGTGCTGTTCATCTGGCTTCTTGCTAACCACTTAGTCCTAGGAACCACACTAGGTGTAGACTTCTTTCTTGTTGTAACTCTGCTGGGAAGGAAGGACGGAAGGAAGGAAGGCAGGGAGGTGGGAGCAAGGAAAACTGTCCGTTTTTGGGCTTGAGGGGGTAGGGATCTCGGAAATAACCGGGAGACCCAAACCACAAAAATAGAAAACAAACCAAACTAGCATTATCCTATCCTGAACCCTAAACAAAAGCTCAGACCGTTGACCCTGAAACCTAAACCCTCAACCTTAAAGGCCACCGCAAAGGCCATAAAGCCTGAACCCTGGACTCTAAAGCCTCAACCCTAAACCCCAAACCCTAAACCCCACACCCCAAACTTTAAACCCGAAACCTTAAGCCCCAACCCTGAACCCCACACCCCAAACCATAAACCCGACCTAAACCCGTTGGCCTGCGGCGCGGAAGCGCCGAGCTTCGGCCAGGAAGTCGGCGAAGGTCATCCTGACCAGGACGGGGATCATCGGGGCTTAGGATCTTAGGATCTTCAGGTTTAGGGCTTAGGGCTTAGAGTTTTGGGGTTTAGGGTTTAGAGTTTAGGGTCAGGTAGATCCCATAATTTGGGAACCTGTGCCAACCAGAGATCCCAATACCCTTTAACTAAGGAAGGAATGTACTATAATCGGCTTCCCCTATAGGGTACCTATAAGGGTGCAATGATAGGGTGCTTTTATTTTAGGGAATATACCTGAAATTGGTCCTGTTGCCTAGAGATTGTATAGACGGTTCTATAACGGCTTGGCAGAAATAGGCTTTAGGACTTTAATGGTTGGAGATTGTACGGACGCCGAGTGTTAATACAAGGGCTTTTCAGGACCTAGGGCTTTGGGATGTAAAGATGTTTAGGAGCTGTACGAGAGGAGACGATGCAAACAAACTACCAAATTGAAGCACCCTTACGGCCCTAACTACCAAACCCTCAACCCTGAAACCCTGACCCAGAAACGCAAGCCCTAAACCCTCCACGCCCAAACCCGAAACCCTAAACCCCTAAGCGCCAGACTCTAAACCTAAACACGACATGCCCAAACCGTAGACCTTGAACCTCAAGCCCCAAAACCTAGGATTATAGGCTTCTTTTGCTACAAATAAATATCGGCTTCTTTTGCTAATACTATTGTCATTTTTACGATTATCGGTAGGCCCAGACCCCAGATCCCAGCGCCAAGCTCTAAGAGCCCTCGTCCCTAACACCTTACACCGACGGCCCAAAGCCCTAAACACTCAGAGTTGGGCCAGTCGGGTTTTGGGGGCATATTAAACTATACAAATATATCAAGGACCACAAGGGAACACCTTTCCTGTTGCTGTTCCTGAATGGGCAAGAGTGCTCACGCGGAACTTGCAACCCGCTCAAAAGAAGGTTTTTCTAAGGGAACAGCATCAGCAACTTAACTTGTCAGACCCCTACATTACACCATCTAAAACCCGGAAAGCCGGTCACTCGGAGCACCTCGTCTGGTCCGAGGTGCTGAAGAGACCTCTCAGGAGCGCAGGAGAGCAAAGTGGTTTAGGGTGTAGGATTCAGGAATAAGGTTTAGGGTTTTACGGGTTACAGTTTTGGGATAATGGGCTTAAGGATTTACTGTAGCCATTCAGGCTCCTTTCAGGGTTTCTTCAAGAGATATTACTATAAGGGTTAGAGCAATGGACGCATCCTCGCCAAATTAGGGCCTTGATAGGGCTGCACAGGGCGTTTGTAGTTCTTCTTAAGGGCTTTGCACAGGGCTGTTCGTCGGATTCTGCAGGCTTTTGATGCGGCTTTGTAGGGTCTAACTTTTGCGTAGGGTTTGAGCCTTAAACATCTACAATAATTAGGGCTTAGGACTCGGGTTTGAGCTTTAAGGATTCTAGAGCTTAGGAAGGTGAGGTTGCGGTGCCTTCGTCTGAGTTGCCCTCAGCAGCCGGACGCTGCCGAGACGGCTCCGAGACATCAATCTGACGCTGCCCTCAGCATGACGGGCGCTTCGGGATCCATGCTTTTTGGCTTACAAAGAATGTTAGGGTGCCATGGGGCTTTATAAGAGCAGACCCCGGTCCCAGGACGCAGTAGGTAGGGCTATAACTAAAGCTGCATGTTGTTAGGGCACTTACAATCCTGAAGTTCACCTGCTTGCTGAGTCCCTAATACTCCAAGTAGGGTTCACATACTTTCTGGTGTAAACATCCATTAAGGGACCGAAGACACAAAAAGCATCCCACCCACAGGCACCGACGAAAGTCCTCAAGCAGAGCGGCGGGCTAAGCCCCTGTGTGTTGTCAGCTGCTGGGGAGCCTAACCGCAAGTAGCAACGTTCGCATTCGTGTTAGGATTACCTTCATGACCCTCAACCCTTAAGCCTTCAACGCTGAAAAAAAGCAATGGCAAACCTTCTGCCTGACCTCTCAACTCTAGAACCTAAACCATGTAAGCGTTGAGCCGTCAAAGCTTGAAATCCTAAGTCCGAAAACCCAACCCGTACAGTCACCGCAAAAGGAAACCTGAATTACAACAGAATCCTCTGCCCAAAATCCTCGACAGCCCTCCCCTCCCCGCTCTGCGCTGTCCAAGCAGCCGTTCCGTGCGGAGTGGCTCATGACCTCGGCAGAGTCGAAATTCAAAAGGTAAAGTGTAGGAAGCGAAAATGAAGTCAACCTGGGAAGTAGGGTGAAAAACACTTTGACCAGAGTTTTCAGAAGATAAAACTATAGCTACCTTACATCTAACCCTGCTTGCCATTTCCACTGATCCTCTAAGTATGCTGCATTCGAATCAAGTCCAGGATCTCTTTGACCCCAGGGGAGAGTTGTGCGGAGATCTCAGAGGAGGCACCTCAACGTGTTGACCCTGTGCATCCACGTGATAGCCCTGCTCCTGACGTCTTGGAATGAACTTGCCCAAGACAGGAGGTGTGGAGTCCATCTCGAACAGCAGCGGCTTGCAGCAACCCCCAGAGAGACAGAAAACGCCCAGCCCCGTCCTTCCCTTGCAAACTTGGCCTGGTCACAGCCATGAGGCCACACTGCTCCATCCGAAGTTGTGAATGGAATTTGTCACTACGGTGGGAGGGGGTTGATCTCATCACCGGTTCGGCGCTCGTCGGGATGAAAGAACAACGTCCACAGGAAACATGTTGCTAACATGCAATGAACTGCTCTCGCATGAGAGTCCAACTTTCTGAACAGCCCTTGTCTTAAGAATGCTAGTTGGAAGTCCTGTGAAAAGCCCAGAAGTCCCTCAAAACCCTTTGAATCCAAGGACAGCGAACCACTCTACGATTTCGGCAGGGGTCAAGGAAGCCTGCAGGCAGGTGCAGCTGCCCCACACGATTTCACTTACGCAAAGCCTCCAAAGATGTTCCGGCAATGCAAGTTGGGAATCGCCGGGCAAAGTTCGCATCAGTCAAGGCCATCACCCTCGCGAGCTTATACAGGCAGTCATGCTCCTGGAGCACTCGCAGTCGACGGGACAGCCGAGCATAACTGAGGCCGAGCATCGGTGGAAGGTAAACAATCATGCAGCAAATATCCGCTGCAGAGAAAAACTGCCGCAACAGACAAAGCTTCCGTGAGAGGTTGTTCGCGATGCTGCAGCCCAACACTTGAGG